TTTTGTACAGTCAATAGTATGTCATACTTTAATAGGCAACATTTTTTTCTCAAATAGCACATAAGTCTTACAATAGTAATTTTTATATTCAAAGAAATATTGTATAATAAATTTTCTTATTCACCTATTTCCCTTCCACTCACTAGGATGTAAACATCATATGGCCAGGGACTTTTTCTTTGCCGCTTTCTCAGTGCCTAAAACCACACCATGCTTATGTAAATAACTTGATAAATATTTCTTAAATGAAAAACATCGCAGATGTGACAGGTTAAGCCATAGGAGACTGCAATTTGTGTAACTCAAAGCCAGTCAAATACTGGCAATTTCATAGGATTAACCTAACATTGGAAGCATCCAAAAAAAATTGTATTTTATGGCTTAATCATATGAGGTCTTTCATGCTCTCAATGTTACATACAAATCTAAATCCTAAAACCATATTATCCTACCTGTTCACGTTTATTCTGAATCCATGAATAAATCACACTTGGTTGTTTCACTGTCTTAATCTCAGCACTAATAGTGGTAGATGCAGGATTAGAAAGTTCAGTCACTTGCTGATCTACAAAAAAAAAAAACCACCAAGGTGAAAACTTAGGTTATCTCATTCAGTCTGTAAATATGACATATCAAAATTTAGAAAATAAATAGTCCTCACCAGAGGCAGAAGTCCATAATCTCGGCCCTCTTCTCATTAGTTGAGGACTTTGAGGTGATCCATAGCAGGTGTTTACATCAAAAATTCCAGCCATCCGATTCACTACACTAGAGCCAAAAGAAGTTCCCAGGGGATTTGTAACATCTGGCGTAGATACTTTTGAGGAAAACAGTGATGTCTTAACTAATGGTGGCACTGAAGGCCGAGGCATCTGGCTAGATTTAGGGGTGTGAAAAGTAGTTTCTTCTGTAAAAGAAGAGATCCAGTGCTGAAGAAGCAACCTCATTCAAAAGACCTACACAGGGGGTTGTCACATTTTTTCCATCTCAATTTTTTATTCACTGCATTTCTTCAAGG